GGTCTTTTAAGGGTTGTATCGTGGTCGGGTTCACGGTTCGTGAAACAAAGGATATTCGGCTCAAATTTGATTTGTACCCACCCCGTCTACGTGATGATCTCCGATCCTAAGGTTCAGTTAACCTGGCACAAGCGCCCGCCTCTTCGAGAAGTATGTTGAATGGTAAGAACCACAGTTAAGGAATTCACAAGCTTTTCTTCTAGAGTGATAGTTACTCCTTCTTCGCTTTCGGTGTCTGTGTACACGACTTTGTGATCTGCTGGGGAAAATTTTCTTTTGATGTCTCTCTTTTGTTGTTTTGACTCCCTAATTTTTGCCTGGACTGACTCTTTTTGAGTTCTTTTTGATTTTTTCGATTTCTTTTGAAGTCCAGCGGGATGCCCTGATTTTTGCCTAAGTATTTAGCTTTCTCAGCTTTTCTTTCTTTTTACTTAGCGGGCTTTCTTTCTTCCTTTCTTTTGGAACAAAGTCGTGTGACACTGGTTGTCTTGATTGCTCCGAAAGGATTGTAACTGTCTTACTCCTGATTGGTGAGGTATGACCTCTTGAAAGGTATAAACTGATTGGTCCTTGAAAGACAACACTCCTCTGCAAGACTTGAATGCTCGGTCAAGCTAACTGCCAACTACCCTGCCCCGGGTTAAGATGTGAGGGTTTTTAAAAGTCCGAAAAAACTTCTACTTCCTGGCTCGAAGTGGTTAACAAGGGACTAACTCCTTATATCTCCAGTGTTTGGGGAATTTGAAACAATGCCTTGTACGTCATCGGTACGGTCTTATCTGAAAGCATATGATCATTGGTTATGAGTTTCAGTTTCGTCATCCTCCCTCCTAACTTTGCTAGTCACAGCGAAAAAATGGAGTGGAATAAATGCAAGTGTCAGTGCAATGCAATAAATGAGCGACAGCGACATGATTAATTCAGAAAAATGCATAATCACTTTATTATTATCACCATTCAAAACATACAATGTTAAACGCAGGTAGCAACTAACAGAAAAAGAAACTACAGATGCAAATGATGTAAAAGCTTGAGAACTGCCATTGCTGAGGCGCCTGCCTGTCTGAACCACTGGCTTATGCTGGGGAATACCCTTCTGAGTCTACGAGCTTAGACAGCTGAACTGTTAGGGATGAACAAACAGAAATCCTTCTCGAAAGGAAATGCGATCCTGATCAATCAACTGCTGTACCTTCGCCTGAAATGCTTTACAATCTTCCGTCGAATGCCCCGGAGAGCCACCATGATAACCACACTGAACGTGGGGATTGTACCCAGGAGGGTAAGGTTCTGGAACTGGCTTAAGAGCTTTCGGCTCCACCAAAGACTTCTGGATCAAAGATGGTAGCAACTGGCTATACGGTATCGGCACTGGGTGAAAAGGAGCTTTCCTTCGCTCCAAATTGTTACGAGGTCTGCTCTGATTCTGACGCTGATTCTGATAACCTTGACCACGAGTTCGCTGATTTGCAATGGAAGCGACATAAGATTCCTGATATGGTGCCCCAGGCACGGCTGTCTGTTCAGTATAACAAGCCACGGGAGGTACTGATCTCTGATAAGATGATGAACCGACAAAATTCACTGATTCGCTTCGAGGATATTCGATCTTTGGCATGACTGAGTTGATCACCACTTCTTCTTCACTCTGATAGTCACAAGGGTATTCAGTTTCACCAGTTTGATCATATGAAGTAATCTGAATTTTCCCCATCCTTATGGAGTACTCAAGGCGTTCTCCTAATGCTACCACGTCAGAGAAACTTGCCGGAACTCCGAGCAATCTTTTGAAGTACGGATATTGTAGGGAATCTACAAACATGCTTGCCAGCTCTTGGTCTAACAGCGGGGGACGCACTCTAGCAGCAAATTCTCTCCATCTCTGAGCATACCTCCTGATCGGTTCATTGATCTCTTGAGACAACTCTTGCAAATGCATGCGATAAGGAGCAATGTCTAGGTTGTAATCGTACTGCTTCAGAAAAGCTCTGGCTAAATCCATCCATGACTGAATCTGATTCCTCTCTAACTGCATATACCACCTCAAAGATGCCCCAGTCAGACTATCTTGAAAGCAATGGATCATCAACTTATCATCTCGCGCAAACGCAGTCATTCTTCTACAGAACATCATCAAATGCAGCTTTGGACAGCTATCTCCCGTGTACTTCTCAAATTTTGGCACTTTGAATTTGTAAGGCAACACCAGGTCAGGAACCAAACACATGCCTACAGCATCTAGGTTGACAGCATCTTTGGCTTTCAAAGCTTTCATTTGCTCTTCCAACACTCGGACTCTTCTAGCTTCGTCAAGGGCTCTTGGATCTACCATCCCAGCTGCTGGAATATCTCTTCGGTAATTCATCACAGGGAAAGCAACACCTTGATTGTTGACAGGAGGAGGACGCTCATTCTGGGCAACAAACTGCTCATGCCGACCTCGGTTCTCAACAGAAGGCTGTACAACTTGGTCTGCAGCAACGTTGTTCACTTGCGGGAAGTCTTCCGTGGAATCATACAGAGGGTTGGACGCCATAGTGAACCCTGTCAAGGTGTTAGGAGACTGGAAATTGCCTTCAGACATGGCTACCAATAATCTTCAGCTGACTTCGATGCTTGACTCTGCTCAAATCTACTCAACCCCTCGGTAGGTCTTCTGACAATCAACAGCTGCTCAATCCAAACTCCGGGTAATCACCTTCAGGAAACAAAGGCTGGATCAGAACTCTGGCTAGCTGGAGGATGATATGCAATGCAACACTGATATGCATATGATATGCAAAATGCAGCAAACAATGGGACCACAGCCCCCACACAAAATCTGAATACTGCTGCGCTGCTGACGGAGACGCTCTCTGAAAAGAGGACCAATATAACGGGTAGGTTGGAAGTCAAGTTTCCTGCACAAAAAAACCCCCCCACTCACAGGTATGGACCTATATCTGACAAGGTACGGCATCCTATGCGGTCGTCAGCGTCACAGACATTCAGAACTGACGATACGATTCCCAGAAGGAGTGGCATCATCGAATCCTGAAGAGGCCTCACTCAGCTAACTTCCAAATGATCGGTTCCCAGAGTCGACAATCCTCACGTCTGGACTCCCCTCAGATCCTCAGGACCGGAAAGGAGCACCTCTGCGAGAACCTCGTCCGAGTGCGAATTTTCGTAGGGAACTGCGCCTGCTCAGCAGACAGGTTCGTCTACTACTTCTCCGCAACTATATCTAGGTGTATACTCATACTCGAGCCCAGGTCCGGCTTATCTCAATCATAGAACACCCGTAACAGCCCAACAGCAATAGATAATATCGATAAATAAACACCTAATAGACAAGCAAACAAGCGCTAGGATTTGACTCTCTCGAGGGACGTTGGATCCCTAGGAAACTATCGCAGTCCCCAGCAGAGTCGCCAGCTGTCGCTACTGCGAAAATCGGCGCCGGCTGACAGAAGAGTCGCCACCGTGCGTTATTTATCCCTCAGAGCGGGAAAGGAAACGCTCGAAGTAAACCTCGCAAAAAACGGGGAAAAGGTATGGTCATCGCAACCATAGCCTGGGTTCGGGAGTCGGTTACGCAAGGGGAAGGTATTAGCACCCCTCACGTCCGTCGTACTCGACGGGATCCACGCTTGCTTGGGTTGTCTACTGGATGCAAAACAATCTTATCTACGGCTGCTAAATCTAAACGGAAGGGAATTGACTCGATAGAGCGTCGCACTCTATGCCTACGTATTCTCAAGAGAGAAAGTCAGAGTCAACGTAGTTCGGGACTACAGGGAAAATTGGCTCGCCAAGACATCGCGTCTTGTGCTTACGTACTTCCACTGGAGGGAAGATCAGAGCTTTACGTAGTTCAGACTAACTACGGCTAAACAAACAGTCTCACACAGCAGTGAGAAAAACAACTGGCTTCACAGGGTCGGGAACCTATGGTCACAACTATGGCTGAGTCTCAAATGCACTCGGGCAAGAGAGAAAAAGGGTACTCAATTAATCGTTAGCGGGAAAGTCTCGATCGCACAGCCGCGAGAGAACAACAGTTAGTCGTTAGTGTGCTCGCTAGGATATCGCATCCTATGCCTACATATCTTCGTCTGGAACGAAGAATCAGAGCAGCTGTAGTTCGGCTACTATCGGACCACAGCTCAAATCTCGTTTTATTCATCTCTGAAAAATGATTACAATGAGTCGAATACTGAAATAAATCTCCTAGGAAACGCTATCCTATTCTATCTTGAAAAATTGACTGAAAATAGCCCCCTAACAAATGGGCCTCTAAACTATCCTAAAAGTCGAGAAATAAAATCTATGAAAGTATCCCTAAAAGAAATGCTTGAAAAATATTAAATCGGCACTTTAATATTTTTTCTCTTTTTCTCCTTTTCTTTTCTCCTATTTTTTCCTCAAAAATATTTTCCTTTTATTTTTCACAAGATTTTTCTTCATATTTTTTTCAATATTTTCTTCCTTATTTCTTTTTCTATTTCTTTTTTTCAAATATACTTCTTCTTTTCTCTTTCTTTTTTCAAGATATATTTTCTTTTCCTCCCTTTTTTATATTTTTTCCAAATATACTTTTCTATTTTTTTTTTATTGTTTTTTTCTTTATTGTTCTTTTCCTCATAATATTTCTTACACATTCTTTGTGAAAAAAACTAAGAGAAAAAAAAAAGAATTATAAAAGAAATAAAAGAAAATACACAAGGGGGGGGGTATGCTGATTACAGGGGGATTAACAAGTAAAATATAAAAATACAGCAAACTGGGCCCAGCCCAACTTGCTTTGCTGCCAAAAAACGTGGGAGGAGCTGTGTGCATCTGGGGGGTATGCCAGAAATGAGCTTTATTGGGCTTGAGCCCAGAACCTGCCAAAAAACGGAGGGACGTGTCACAAAAAATTGGTTGTGATTGGGCCTGGCCCAATCTTCTTCTTCCTTCTCCTTTCTGAAGTTCAGAAACAGAAACCCTAATCTGTCTTCCTTCTCCCTCCGCCGCCGTCACAGCTTCCATCTCTCTCGTTTTCCATCCTTCATCCTCTCTTTATTCATATCAACCAACACTTTATTACTAACCTCCCACACAGTCCTCCAAAGATCCTCACTGAAATCCACCGAATCAAAAGGCGAAAACGACGCCGTTGCACCAGCATCCTTCTCCATTTCCGAAGCAACTCTTTCGACAATCACAAGTAGCATAGCATCAACTGTGTTTTTGTCGCTCTCAGGAAAAGATTCCTTAACTTTCTTACGCGTTATCCAAGCGAATCGTGAGAGAAACTCGTTGGTGGTTTCGTCGTCATCGTTGTTCTGTTGAACGGCGTTGCTGTTTACGTGAGTTCGGAGTGATGGATCGATTAACGAGTTACCGAGTTCGGGGGAAGGAGAATGAAGGTTACGGTGACCAGTGATTGATGAAACTGGTAGTCGTTTGAAGATGATTGTGGGAAATGGAGAATTTGAGATTGATTTACGTTTGATGATTGCGTTTCTTGAAGAATGAAGAGAAAGTAAAGTTCTCCAACTCATTGTATCTGAATTTGAAAATGGTGGAAGTATGATGAACAATTGACGAAGGCGTTGATGATTTAAAAAAAACCTTCTGGAAATCGGCGAATGTTGATGAAGACTTGCAATATTCTTGCGCTTCTGGAGAAATCTGCAGATGATGAATGATGAACGGTGTTCTGGTGGTTTTTTTCTGGGTTTGATGGTGGAGGACGACGGAAGAAGATGAAGATCATAGGGAGGAAGAGGTTGGTGACCGGAATCTGGGTTTGGAGGGAGTTCCGGCGAGTTTGTGGTGGCCGGAGCACATGCACGGTGGCCGGTGGGAATTTTCTGGTGAGATGCTGGGATGAGGACGCGTGGGGCCGGTGGTGGTGTGGAGCTCTGCATGTGTGCCACGTATGGGATAGCGTGGCTGAGAGGGAGAGAAAGTCTGGGGTTACGTGGCTGTGAATGGGAGTGAAAAGTGGGGCCTTCCTCTCACAACACGTGTCAGCGTCTGGTTATATATTGATGAATGCGCTGGAAAGTTCTGGAAAGTTCTAGCAAGTGCTGGAAATTACTGGGTCACTCTTGGACTTTTGCTGATATTTGCTGGACATTTTCTGGACTCCTTCATCAATTGGGCCTGCGAGTATGGACTTAAGGCCCACACGAAATGGGCTCTAAAACTCAGGAAAACAAACTGAAAACAATTAAAAAAACCAATTAACACTTAATCCCATTTAACTAGACTAATAATATCCTAACAAACATACTAATCAGAAAATTAAATCTAAAATTGATTAAATGTTTATAAAAATCTATAACAGAAAATAAAAAGAAAAATCTATATATTTCTTAATTTCTATTTAAAAAACTATATCAAAAAAAGATCAAAACCATTAAGACTATTAACAATCTATTAAATTCTATTAATATTCTAAAACTAATATTACTATATTATCTAAAAATATAAAAAATCTATTAAAACCTATTAAATCCTAAAATGAATTTAAAAATCTATTTAATTCTATAAAATGCTAAAAAATTGATTTAAAAATATTAAAATCTATTAAAAAATTTTATTAAATCCTAAAAATTGATTTAAAAGCTATTTAACCCTAAAAAATCCTATAAAATCCAGAAAAATCATCACAATTCCCAGAGGGATAAAATGAGCACCGAACGACACGAAAATAATCGGTAAAAATAAACGGGCACCGAAATATCCCAAAAATCAATCCTACTGATCAAAAACACCTGAAACACGAGACGGGAGCTGTGATCCCTGATAAAATCAATACAAACGAAAAATGCAATGTATGCGATATGCAGATGCGAATGCGGTTATGCGTCGAAACATCGAGCCAAATGCGAGACCCGGTTGGTCAAATTTTGGGGTGCAACAATGGTTACCAGAGAACAAACCTGATGCTCTGAAGTCATTTTATCAAACTCGTCAATACAGCACAATCCACTGTCAGCCAGCACCATAGCACCTATCAGGAATCACAACAATTATTCATAGAAAATATGAACTAATTTTTGCAAACGATCACAGTAAAATCAGTTAGACCCAATCATACCTTATTAATAGCATATAAAAAAATAACATTTCCCCCCTCTTCTCCACTTTATCCAAAAGTCATTATGTCAGACACTATCAAAGATAAATCAAGAAAAATCTGCAGAGTTTAAGCAAATAGAGACAAGCACCAGAAAACTATGTCATCATTCAGCCCACCGCAAAGGAAGCAATCCATACAACTTGGCCAGAAAAGAACTACAGATAACTTAGCTTCATGACTTATTAAATTTACACACTAAATTCCACATTGTCACAGAAACATAGATTTCAACATATGGAACTCAAAAGAACAACTTGAAGAAATAAACAACAAAAGGAAACACAAAAGCACAATTCAAAGACATGTTCCAAAAAGAGTAGTATCAATAATGACCAATGACTGGTAATTCACTAATTCTAGAAATATTGTAGTGTACTTTGAATCGTGATTTCACAATTTCAATTAGTGCAACATAAAAAGAATTTAAAAGCATGTACCTGCCTCAAAAGCGTAGTCACTTGTCATAGGATCCTTCACTACAGCTACTGTGAGACCAGGTTGTTGCGTTACCACAAACATAGATACCACTTGGAGAAACAGTTGTTGCTGCATGTAACAACTGGCTCTTACTTAAATAGTGGAAAATACACAACACATAAAACCACCAACATATTGTGAAACTATGCTACTAAGGAAAAATATAAACAGAGGAAAAGACTAAAACTTGCGAAAATGCTAAAAACAAATAGTAAACAATATATTGTTGAACAAATAAGTGAGAAAAATGTTGTAAAATCATAAAGAAACAACTTGTAATGAAAATAACTTCAGCATAAACCATTCAAACTCACAAAATGATATGGAAAGCGGAAAGATATCAAAGACACTAATCTAAAAATTTTAACAACAAAATACATTGTGTTGGTTCTCAGAAAACAGATATACATAAAACACACAAAACCATTGCAAATTTCATCAATTAACAATAAATATGAAGAAAAAAATGGACGGCAACGGCGGTGCTAGGGTTTGACGGGAAAGAGAGAGAGAATATAGCAAACTTGGAGAGAGAAGTATGGAAATATTAAAGAAATGAGAGAGAGAGAGAGAGAGAGAGAGAGAGAATGAAAAAGAGGGAAGAAAGCTTCAAAATGATATCGTAAGAGGTGTGGCATCCGATGCATATGGATTTTAGGGTAAAAATCTAGTATCTATTAGGTAAACCATTTGGTGACACGTGGACACCAAAGAGGAGGAGGAAGTGAATAAATTGAGTCTTTTGTTAATTACTAAATAACCCTTTTTAGAGTGATTTTTTTTTTTGCTTAAAGGGCAATTTAGTTAAACCATTCAATTGTTTAGTATTAGATAGATAGTAGATGAATGATATGTGACACTGACAGTGACACTGCCACATTTATTTACAATAATTAATTTTATATCATTTTTAATTAGAAAATTTAAAAAGATTAATTATTTAAAATTATAAAACAAAATTTTGAGGAACTATTAATTTTTAATAAAAAATTTGAAAAATTAACTATTTAAAATTATAAAACAAAATTTTGAGAACATATGGGTTTCAAACCCCTACAATTTATTTGTTAACTTTTGGCAGTAAAGCTTTTATTGTTTTAATAATTTTCCCAACAACCATTCTTCTTCCTCTCACCATGTCCCAACCATCTCATAGGTTCATTTGTTTGATTAACTTTTAGGCATGTTTATCTCATATATTTTAGGCAACATGTTATTAGACAACATAATAAAGCCATTATACTTCAAGCATATGCTGGTACTAGCAAAAAAGTATGACATGTGTATCAAAGTTACTGCATTAAAAAAGCATATCCGCTTTGTTTAAAACTGTTCTGCAAAAATTCGTTACTGTATTAAAAAAGCATATCCGCACCGTTTAAAACTGTTCTTCAAAAATTCATTAAAAAATTGAATGGAGCGAAGTAGTCATAATTGAGGATGTGAATCTAAAATTTATGTCTGTCCTGCAAAAAAATAAGGGTGAGACGGAAAAAGTCGGTAGACCTTGTATATTTTAAATTTAAAAATACAAAAATTTATGTAATATCCATGTAGGCAAAAACCCTTATAGGAACCGGAGTGGTAGAGTCAGACATTTTAGAGGATAAGAGTCTAGACCCTTAACCCGCCCGTGCAGAAAAAACAGACATACTTAACCGACCGAACACATTTTCATAGCTAAATTTAATACATTCAAAACATATTAAGCCAAAGATGCTAACAGGATGGTTGCCAATTGTATACATACAAACAAGCCTCCATTGAGACCAACATAGAACGGTTTATTTCGTTGCTACTGGAGCCACAGGACTCTCCAAGGCTTCAACTATGTTTTATCATTAGAAAGATGTTTTATCATCGTTTGCAATTTATATAAATCATCATACAAAACGAACCATCCTTTTCATAAGTGTATAATTTTTATAGGTGCCTCAGACTAAAATTAGTTTCATAGAAACTAATCTCAAACAGGGTTGGAACATGGTGAGAGAAAGAATGAAGGATGTTGGAAAAATGATATGTAGTGAAATAATATGTATTTTTACTTCCGAAAATTCACAAATAAATTGCGATAGCCAAGTTGGTTATCTATGGATGTTTTGTTTGTTTTGCTCAAATATGTTTTATCTTCTCTTCATGTTTATGTTCTTTTTTTCTTCAAATATCCAATAAGTAATGATTCTAAAATCGAGTATATCTTTATGTTCTTTCTTTAGAGAAATTGAGAAAACTAGTTGTAATAGGACATGATTTGTTTTAAGTGAGATAAAGGTGGTTTGGAGACGAGGAGGATTCATGAGTTTACTATCTCATTATTAGATAAATAATTTGTAAGGGTTAGAAAATTTGTTGTAAATGTGACTTAGAATCTTTGTTGATAAAGAGAAAGAAAATATATTTTGGAGATTGTATTTACCGTGAAAATCGAATGAAAAGTCGGGGGAAAAATCGGTCGGTGAATAGTGTCGCTCGTACGGTGAGTAGTGTCTTTCGTACGGCGAATAGTATCGTCCCGTACTGATGAATAGTGACGTATGTACGGTGAATAGTGTTTTCGCGTTTTCAATCTCTTTTTTTCAATTCGGTCCATGAATCCATGTGATTTTGGACTTTGTTTGTTAGGTATTTGCTATTATAAATATGTATCTTTTATGTACTTAGGTGTGTGATAATCTTAGAGTTTTCACCAACAAGGAAGACCAAGGGTTTAAATGTATAGCATAGGGTTTCAGCTATGCACAAAGAAAACATTGGATTACACATTGGGTTTGAGTGATTCATATATTGAGAGTTGGAGAGGTAGGGGACACTTGGGTAGAAAATAGGGTTGTTCTTGGGCGCCTTCAAGATTGTTCTTGGGAACCTGAAGGCGAAGGTTATTTTCTTGTAACTCATCTGTAATCTCTTATAACAACTTTCTGAGTATAGTGA